GATCAAATTCTCTTGATTTCTACTTTAACCTATGATAGATAGAATCTGATTAGGTTAAGAGAGCTTCCTTGATTGATAGTAGTGAATTAGTTGTGCGAGAGTCAATCAATTCACTGCTTTGTACTGGAATTCATTCCAGTAGTGGAGATCTGTGTGAATCGCCTTAGCAGTCTATCCCGGTGAAGGCTAGTCGCCTGCCGGGTATTCTGTCTGAGAGGGCTTGGTCAGCTTAAGAGATTCCAAGCTAATTTAGGATCTTCCGCAGTTTAATCAATAGTAGATCAACCAAAGGTAATTGCAACTTGGATATAATTGAGGAGCTAGGGGGAATCATACCTAAGTGAGTTCCCAACTTGTAATTAGTAGAGTAGTCAGTAGAGTAGTTTATCAATCAATTCTTAATCTAGTTTGCTAGATAATGAACTGAAGCTGAGTAATAGTAACTCTAGAGACCCGTGGATTCGATATTTATTACTTGTGCCACTATACTGCAGTCCCTTTCATTGGTTACACTTGGCCATTGTTAGGTGTTGTGTTTTAGCGAGTCAATGTGCTTGACGATTGCTCGATGTTGTAACTACTTAATTTGAGAGTAAATCTTTTGATTTTCCCTATGAGTTGTGATACCAGTTCTGGTGGTTGCAGCACGTTGTCGTTGTTGGCCTGTAAAAGTTGTTCCGCCGTGATGCTAAATACCTTTCTTTCTTTTTTAACAAATTGTGTAGTAGTGCTATGAAACAAACCATCCATGAACGCTATGCTTATTATGGTCTGTTCTTACCTCCGGTGGTGATAAATTGTGAATTGAGAATCATATTCGCCTACCACACTGTGTCTGGCTGGTGGCTCTGCTTACTGTGCTCTCTAGAGTTATGAAACACACTACCCATGAACGTTACCCTTAAGAGTCCATAACTTTGCGAAAAACTAAATTTAGGCAATCAAAGGTGGTGGATGTGTGATGATTTTTTATGGCTTAATTGTTTGTGAATTGGATATCTGATCTTTGTATGATTAGAGGGGATGTTTGCTTAATAGAATAATCCATTTTAATTCATGTTTATTTTTAACATGAACTTTAGTACTCAAAACCTTCGAGAGACATATCACCTACTGCATTGTATCATTTTGCCTGGGTGCTTGTTGTGTTGTCAAACTTCTTTGATGTTGCTGCATTTACACTAACAGGGGAGTTAAGAACCCATGAATGTTTCCGTTTGACACAAACAGGAGGACTTGCTTCTAAATCATGCACTAAAGATGATTGGAGGAAACATCTTTGTTGCAGTTGATATACTGGAGACTAGAACAAAAGCAACGTATAACATCAAAACCAACCATCTGAACTATTAGCATTGTTGCTTTACTCTTTTTTTCGTGGTTGAGTCTCCTTCAAAAAATTTAGTTTGATTTTAGAAAATTTTGCTTCTGCAGTCCTGTCTTGCCACCAACGCGTTCAGTAGATGGAGATGGTAGAGGCGAAGGCTATTTTTGTGTTGTTGTTGTTGGTTTAGGGTTCGGTTGTGAAGAAGAGGGAGAAGAAAGGGGGGAAGGGAAATACAGGAGAGGGGGATAACTCTTTTCTCCGACAAAAATGGAGTGAAGAAAGGAATTATGATCAGTAAGGATATGGTTATCTTACATAACGGTCTCTATTCTGTTTGAATTGAGCTTGGGAGGCAGTGATAAGGACGAGCAGCAACCAATTCCTAGTGAGAAGAGTGCTATGAACTGTGATAATGTCTTATTTCAAGTTAGAAGGTAGTTTCAGTATAAGGATTATTTAATTTGACAAGTTGTTTCATCCATGATTCTTGGTAGTTTCAGTGCCATTCTGGCCATTGTTTAGTCTGTAATTTTTGAGAATTGATGTGCGAGTAATGACTTTCACTTAGCTTCAACTATTATGTGTGTATTTATTGGCATGTGATAGAATTCTCTTTTCCTTTTCTTTGAATTCAGTTTCATACTCTAATTGTATCATTTGTACATAGGCAAATCATGCTCGAGATGACAACTCGCTGATATGGCTGGTGCAAGGAATGAAGCCATCATTAGAATTCAGACCGACAACGGGGAGGGATGCCCAGGACTAATTCAATGATGATTGATGATGGTATAATAAAAACTGCAGTCTGCATCAGCACCAATTTCTTGGCCTAAGAAAAGTTATTCAACCCAGAACTCTGCTTAGCGCTAAAAATTGCGCTCACCCAACCTTGATCATGTTTGACCCACTTCTGAAGAGTCAAGATATATGACTAATCCTCCTCGTTCGTATTTTCTTATTGACTCTTTCTGACCCTTTAGCTTGGGGCGGGTCGGGAAGAATCGGATTAGTGGATCGGTCCTAATCAAGTGGAATCTCAATCCCTTCACTCTCACATGCTTTCTCTCACCCGGCCAACGGGCCGGGTGATAAGCTAGTAATAGCATAAAGGGAAAACTGTTCAAATTTCCTGCAACGAGAGTGACAGTAGGAAGGACATTTTGGTCTTCACAATTATTATTTTTTATTCATTAAAAAGACACGTACTGGATTCGAACCATGACCACTTTAAAGAAAAGCAAGGATCATAACCAATCACACTAAATACATTTGTTGTATCTTTTCAAATTAAAAACATAAAATAGCGGGGAGGAAAAAACCCTTCCCCCATTTCAAATTCCCTACTCCAGGGGAGCGTTTGTAGGAAGGGTAGAATAGAGAGTGTCAATTTTTTTTCTCTTTCCTTTGTGGAACAGGCCAACTTACCGTACACATGCGGATTTAAACGGGTCCAGGAGTGTCAATTTTTTTTCTTTAAGCCCTTTTATATCTCCGTGGTGGTAAATATATATGAAAGGGCAAAAAAATACTCCTTTTTATTGCTAAAAAGAAAAAAATTAACAATAAACTAATGCATGGATTCTAATGGGCTAACCGCTAACCATAAAATAAAAGAGTTGAATGGGCCTGACCTACACGGGATTTGGCCATCAAGTAAAACAAATGAACATTATGAGTTTGTCATTCTAAAACAAGCTATTTATCCTAGCATAATATATATTATTCTATTATTTTATATCTTAGTGGCTAAAATATAATGTATTTTAAAGTTATTCAATGATTCAATCTCGACCAATCCAATTAGTCCAATTTTTATCATAATGATTAAATTATAGTGTATTTTATAGGGAATCGTTTGGTATTTGTTAGTAAAAAACTAAACAGAAAGATCTATTTGGTTATTTTTAAAATTAAAACGATCCTAAACATTTTCAGTTTTGTTTCGAATTTCTATGGTTTTATTCCCTAATCAGTGATGTGCAAATAACAAATTGCAATCATCTATTTCTTTCACTATTTTTTATTTTAAAATAGAAAGTTTAAAAGTAAAGAATAATTAGAGTTTGTCATGGGTCGGGCAAACAGGCTGAATTTCAAGTTTTGGACAAGTCTAATTTATAATCACATGGTTCCCCGATACTCGATAAAAATCTCAATTCAAACCAGTTTGGCAGGTGAGTCCGTGTTTACCACCATTTTCCAGGGATACAGGAACGACAGTTCCTATCCCAAATCGTGTTGTCCGTTCTTGATTTCTTTAGATTTTATCGTTGTCTAGCAAAAGCCAAAAAGTACAATGACGACAAGATGATAGTTTTATAAAGAAAATTAATTGGCCAACGGGCTGAGTAAAAGTAAGCAACGATTGTGAGATGCTCATTTCCCGAAAACCGACGGGATAAGCGATTTTTAATTTGATTTTCTGGAATTCGGTTTCTATAAAACTTACTCCACTTCATCATATTACCAGAAACAATATTGTTTCACAAGGTAACAAGTACTTGATTTTAGTTCGTAAGGCTGATTTATGATTCGTTGCATCATTCATGTCTTTTTCCTGCTAAAATTCACTATTTATATCACGTGTTTTTTAAAAAAAACTATACAACAATAAGCTATACACCGCATTACATTATTAAATGTCATACCTCACTTTTTTCCGGCCAACTGGCCGGAGCCATGCTAGTAGAATATTAGCTGCCATAAAGGTATATTTTCAGTCACCCATCAAGACATGTCCAAAGTGGTGAATGAGTGTAGGTGTATATTCAACAAGGTCCAAGAAGGTGATAGGCATGACAGAAGACGTTGAATCTTTTCTAGAGTTAACATTTTTAGGTGATGTCTAGACGTTTGAAGCGAATTTAAAAAAAAAACAACAATTTTAACAGTTTTTAGATGATGAGAGTACTAAAACGTTAAAGTGGAAGTAGTGTCTCGTCCCTTACAGTTAAAGTACAATAAGTACAACGGTCCATCACAAGTTCAAACCAGATAACAAAATGTTCAAAGCATAGTTCCATTTAGGTTATCCTTACATTATAAACTAGCACCTTATACAGAAACAAAACAAGTAACAACTTTCATCACTTACTGAATGACGAATCCACAAAAGATTAAGCCGCAAAACTTTAAAGTTCAACCCCAATTACCTGCATTGAAATTATGACTAATTGGGCACCACTAATTTTCGAAACGCTCCTCCAGGTCCTCAATTACGACTAGACGCCGCCTTGAGATATCCAGACGTTATCATCGACTTATTTGTTGTCTAGGGTTTAGGTGAGACCTTTATCATCCCCAAACATACTTGGAAATGCATCTTTTTGAATCCTGATATTTAATACTATAGACAATAAAGAGAATCATTTTTCCATGATAAAGTAGCATATGCTGTTACCAAAGATTTTCTAGCCGGAAATTATTAAGACAATAGTTTAATATTGGGTTAATAGCATTTTATACCCTTCAACTATTGTAAATTAACAATTATACCCTTGTAATATTATTTTGCACAAATGTAACCTTCTACTATCAAAAACTTAACAAAAATAACCTTCCATCCAAAATTCTGTTCACTGTCCGTTTAATGGGGTAGAAAATGACTCAATTACCCTAAAATTCCCCTTTTACGTAAAAAATAAAAAATGAATCATAAAAAAACAAAAAAGCCTTGCTCTTATTATCCCTTCCCTGTAGTCTGTAGACTATCGAGCAACCCCCCACCATGAAAACGTATCCGACTTTCAAGAGGCTCCCTCCCTATGGCGAAACCGCAAGGCCCCGAAGAATCCATCTTCCTGTCGTTTCGAATCTCCTTCCGTCTGCGCTCTTTCTGACTCAGCCCCCTCAAACCTCATTGCTCCTCCATTGGGTTTCAAAAGAATAAGAATTTTGGGGTTCTCACAATAATTAGGGTTAAAATAGTGGATTTGGGATTGCAGCCGAGAAAGGGTTTGGATGGCAATTGGCGGAGCACGGAGAATCTCGTTCTCACCCACCGAAGCCTGCCGCTGTCGAGGAGTAGCTGGGAACCGGTGGAGTAGTTGGCGTCGGATATGTAGCTAAGCGCCATAGGAGCAGCTTGGTGGGTGCCGTCGAAGATGGTGCTGAACGATGGTGGGTAGGGTGAATGACGATTGACGAGGAGGAATGCTCGACCGTCGAAGGGAGAAAGAATAAGAATTAGGGATGTTTTTCGGTTGGTACACATATACAGGTTAAAAACAAATTTCAATATAAGTTAGGTGATTGCGTCATTTCACACTCCGTTAAACGGCCCATAAACAGAATTTTGGATGGAAGGTTATTCTTGTTAAGTTTCGATAGTAGAAGGGTACATTTGTGCAAAACAATAGTATAAGGGTATATTTGTTAATTTATGATAGTAGATGGATATAAAATGCTATTAACCCTTAATATTTTAAGATGTAAGATTTGAGTCTCAAAGAATTAAATGTTTGCTTTTTACTATTACGTGTAGCAGTTCTCGTAACTCCAGCAAAAGAATGAAAATTAGGCTACCAAAAGTGGTGGTATTGAGTATTGACACATGATATGATTGCATCTCGTTGTCCTTTCAAATATGAAATAAAGTACACTAGTTTACTTGATTGTGTAGACAATTGTTACTCGGTAGGTGCCAAGAAAATCTACGAGAATGATATTATGGAATATACCAAAGTTCCCTAAACAGACAAAGATGGCTAAATGGACTAGTGGTTGTGCTTCCCTTTCTTGTATAGAAGATTTGGGTTAGCAATATCGTTCTCATAATGCGTTGTAAATTCTCTTGAGAGTGTCATTTTAATAGGTTCATAATCATGTCTAACAGTGCAATGCTAAAATTAATCTGTAGTAGTCTATGATATCGTACATTTAAAAGTACCTTTTTAATTCAAAACGAGGTATTGCAACGTAAGCGCCAATTATAGAGAAAAGAAAATATGCCTTTATATGTTGATCCAAGTGTCTTTCCTATCTTGATATGAAACGAAAAACGGGTGACCTACTAAATACCGTTTCTTAGTTGACCTTCTTCAGGAACTTTGCTTCATTCCCTTAGCCTCATTACAAAGCTTAAGAAGTCGAAAGCATAATTAATTGTGATATAGTTAAGGGTAACCATGCATAGTTGTGGCAATTCCTTTGCAGATTAGAATCACCTCTTTCGCCATCTTTCAAACTTCTCCAGTTTCTATTCTCTAACCTGCCATTATACAGTTATTAATTGCCCGGAAGCTCAATTAAAAATGAGCTTTTAGTTAGCTTCATTTTTTCTTCCCATTGATTGACAAAACCACTTAAGAGTGGCCTGAACTCTGTTCGGCATACGCTTGTTTGTACCTTCTAAATTTATCTGTGCCTTTCAATCTAAGCACATTAAGAAATTCTTCTCTAACTCTACTGAATAATTAGTAGATATTTTGTATTGAAAAAAGAACCTTAGCTAGACACTCTTTGCACCTCTTAAACGGGAAAAGATAGATCACCACGACTATGGTCTATGGAATTGAGGATTGATAATTGACCGCCACATTAAAGTGTCAATATTAGGTCTCAAGACTATGGATTAGGTTTTTTATAAGAAAAAAACCCCTTCGCCTTGCACACGTTCATGTTCATTATTGTTTGGATAATGACACATTCTTTGTGCAAATCAGTGACAAAGGGAGATGAAGAGCAGTGGGATCCTACTTCCTAGTACCCTACCTGAACAAATGGAAGTGGTTTGTATGCAGTTACTTGTTAACATGTCATTTCTCCTTGACCAAGAACAAGAAGTATATACCATGGTAGAATGAGCAACTTTTCACAAAAGCAAAGTCAATCACCCTGAAGAGGAAACGAGCAACGAGAAAGGCCAACTGTGGATGACAATGGTGGCAACATAAGGATAAATGAACAATGAATTAGTGATGATTCTCGTATTTAGTGGAATCCACTCTCCAAAGACAGGAATACGTGCAAAAATATCGATCTTTCCCTACTGTGACTAAGAAAAGCTTAGAAAGGTTAGCATAGCCATCATTGTTATCATGGACTTCAGTAGGAGAAATTGGTATCTTAAGAGCAGGAAAAAGAAGAACTTGAAGTGTCTCTAGCAATAGACAACCGATGCAGAGAAATGGGAGGTCAGTGATATATCATACAGACTAATAGATGATGAAATCTCAAAAGACCAGAAAGGTATCGCCCTTGTAGAGTGTCACAGAGCTCGAAACCTCAAAGGGCCTAGGGAAATGCTTAGTGCTAGATTTTTAAGGGACCTAAACCCTAGCGCTCCTTATGTCGTGCAACTTTAGTACTCCCATCACTTGTTCAAAAAAGTCGTTTCACAAAAGCAAAACCTTACTAATGTTTATGTTATGCTAATGTGAATTGCTCATCTTTTTTTTTTCTCTCTTAGATTCTTCTTATTCATAGAACATTGCCACTGACTCTCAGTGTTCATGTACGGTATTATACAGCTTGACAGAGATTGTAAAGCGATATTGGAGTGCAGAAGCTGAAGCTTCTAAAGCTGCTAATGATGCAGAGGTGATCAACCGTTACTTCTTCTGCAAAGAGAACCCCTAGAAGCTTCCTTGTTCACCAGTATTAGTATAACCTCTGCTTCTTTATGTCAGCGTTAAACTAACTGTCTTGATTATCAATGATGAATTTGCAGGAATATGCCCCACTGGCCTACTGCAAATTGTACACAGGTACCCATTCCTTTCCCTATAGCAATTAGCCCTGAGTTTAAGGTTAGAATCTTTCACTGATGACATTGTTATTTGCAGGTTTGTGGTTGAGGATCCAGCTGATGTACATCTGACTGCGAATGACTTTGTACTGCTAGAAAATCAAATTGACTTGTCACTAAAACAAATAAGGGCCAGAAAAGTACGTTTATCCTGCTTTGACTTTGAACTCTCCTAATTTTCAGCGTCTTGATTTCTAACCTCAGCGTGAATCATAACATACTTGATGATTATGCTAGACATCCAGTTTCTAGTGCTCCAATGGGGAATGATACTAACCTTGTTTATCATGCAATAAATCGGGTCAAATCCATGCCCCTAACAGTGGAATTGGCTACTGTCTTGATGTTTCCCCCCTTTTAATTGACCTCATATTAAGCTCAAAATTCAAACTTTTAGATGGACTTTATCACAATCATACTCTTCACCACAGGTCAATCCACTAGAGATTGTCTGTGCATGTTGTTTGATAAGAGTATCTATCATCACTCTGCACCTAATTTCCTGTCTTGTCAGCTAGTTCCTCCAAACACATTCACTAAGCTTACGATTTGCAGTAGGGGAATTCGTTGCTCTTAATTTGGTTTGTAGATGGAACTGATGCTGCAGCCATTGAAGACCCTCCAGGAAGAGGTACTACTTAGGATATCTCAAGTTGACGCAATCTCTCGCCTTACCTGACTATTGCAATATGCCACAAACCCTAAGCATGCTACTTACCTGTCTAGATGAGCCAGTTCTTTCTTATGCTTGAATGGGTGGTAAATCGACCTAATGACTTTCATGTTAGCTTGGCCTCACCCTGATTCAGCTACCCAGTTATTTATCTGCCTAATGTTGTGTCAAAAGTTACGCCAGAGCTGCTTCCATGTTGTAGGCAAGAGTGATAATGTTAGAAACAAAGTTTCTAACGGGATTTGAATTGGGTGATATTTGAGAATTTAGGGATTGAGAAGATAGAATTAGGGATTTGGGAAAGAATTGGGGGAGAACAGAATTGGGGATTAGGGATTTAGAAGAGGAAATTGGGGATCGAGGAGAAGAATGGCCGATGGCCAAGGGATAGGTGACGAATTTGAGAGAGATTAGGGTTTGAGATACTTTTCTGAATAATTGTTCTTGCTTGCTTCTGAATAAAACGCAAAGTACATATTTATAACGAAAGATAAGAAAACCTAATACTAACCCTAATTCTACTAAAAGACTACTAACCATAATAAGAACTACCTTATTAGTAATTATAATAATAAATTAAGAAACCCTAATGAAATTGGTTTCTAACATCTCCTCCCCCTTGAAACCAACCTTGCCCTCAAGGTTGATCGATTTAGCCCACTGCTCCACCTTTCTCTCACAGTCTAGGTGTCGAATCCTTCGCTTTCTGCGTTTCCAGTTGCGCTTCAATTCGAGAAGAAACTCTTCTCGAGCAACTTCAACTTTCCTCGACACTTCTCCACCCACGTGACACCTGCTACGTTCTCCATAACTGAATAATTTTTCCTCTTTATTTTCGAAATCCACGAAATAAGAATTGGAAAAATGTTCTTCTATACGCTCCAGCTTGAGGTCTTCAAGGAAATGCCTCACAAATTCGTCCGTGGATTTCGTGGTGAAAACCGCCTATGACTCTTCTCCACTTTCTCTTCCTTCACCTTGGTCTAAGCCCACATCTACTTGGAAGAAGGGATTGTGGCCCAATTGATTGTCAAGTCTCTTTGTGTTCTTCTTCTTAATTTCATTTGGGCTTGACTTACTTGCAAGCCCATTCACAAACCTAAGAACTCCCTCCAAGCCTGCTTTCCTCCAACCACAATCCATGGTGGGCTCATGACACCCTCCTTGTGAGGCCCACTTCGCCCATTTAACCTCAGCTAAGGAGCCACTTGATCTCGGCCCGAACCACAGCTTCAACTCAACCCATTCTGATGATTCAAGCCCAGCGAAGCCTCTCCAGTGAGTCGACTCGCTTTCTCCTGGCCCCCATGCTGGTCCACTAAGTTTAAGCGGCCCGAAACATGGTCCAAACGAAGCCCAATTCCCTAAATTTCCAGCCCAAAATGGTTGGTTCAGCTGGCCCAACCCGGATCCCAAGCTCCAATGGCTTCCCTTCATGATAAGGCCCACTCGCAGTAGATCATCTGACCCCTCGGCCCACTCAACTTGGCCCAACGTTGGTGGCTGCTGCTGGTGTGCTTCCCATTCCCAGGGTAGCAATCTAGGATTCGTGAGAAGAGGACCCCAGCCGCCACCCCTCTCCTCCGCCGACTTCCTCCTGGCCACGCCGTCCGCCATTACCGGCGGTTCTTGCATCCCCAGTTTCGGCGACGCAACCCGGCCTGCCGCCGCCCCGAACCTCCTCATTTCCTCCTCCAGCTGACCTTCTCCGCCACTTCCTCTCCCGGCGGCCACAGGCAGAGCACATTCCACCCGCGGTGTGGACACCGCCGCCCCATTCCTTCGCTCCGGCCTTGTCCGTTCCGCCTTCTTCTTCTCTGGTAGCACACTTTTCCACACTCTGCGATTG